TCCCCTCCCCTCCCCTCCCCTCCCCTCTCCTCCCTCTGCGGACGGCGACTCCCCGGGCACCGCAGGGGGGAGGCGGAGGGAGCGGAGTCCCCCCCATCCGGCGGGTGTATAACCCCCGGGCCCGCGGAGAGCGGCGGAGTGGTGGCGGGGCCCGAGGCAGGTCCCTCGCACCGCCTGGCCGCGGGGTTCCTCTCGCCAGGGGAGGAAAGTGGTGGGGGAAATCGGAGGTACTCACAAGCCCGACTGGCACCAGGAACAGAATTTTGGTTTTCGGTGGATATACCTTAAAAGAGCATCGCTGTTTGTTTCCGTAGGAGAAGCGGGGAGACATCCTGAAATCCTGGAACTGCACTGAAAGGTAAGTGAAAGTTAAGAATTCTCCTGACAGCTGCTTCTTCAGTGAGGTGGTTGCTTGTTTCCATTGAGTATTGGTCTCTGGGAAGCTCTGCGTTTTCTATGCTGTGGCTCTGTAATTGTGCAGTGTCGATCTAGTTAATATCTGGACAATTCAATTATTTTTTTTATGTTCCTCAAAGCTGAATGCGTAGTCCCTTTCATCCAAAAAGAAACTGGTAAAAGTTAATTGCTCGGTTAGTGACTTATAAAGGCTTAAATTATTCCTTAGTGTAGATGGTGTTATATTAATTTCTGATGCTCTTACAAGAATGAGAATAAACACTGGTTTATAGCGTGATGTTGGCAGAATTTTAGGGCAGACTGTAGTGCCTTTTTATTTTTTAATATGCTGATGTAAAGTTTCTTCTGGATTTCAGGTGGGTTTTGTGTTTTGGTTTGTTTTGTTTTTTTTTAATAGGGATAATGGGAGCTCAGGAAAAGAGTTCCAGGAGGAATGCCATTATCATCTTATTATCAGTGAAACTGTTCTAAATAGAGTGCCATCTGTTTAGTCCAGACTGCTTCTGTCTGGTTTCAGCATTGAATGTTTTTCACTGTGAAGTCTGCAAGATTCAGAGCAGTTTCTTCTCTGCAGATGCAGTGTCAGGGTGAGAGGAGACATTTGTTTTTCCATAATGTGTATGGGGTGCAGTTGCAGGACAACTCTAATTGTGAGGTACCTAACTCTTTGTCTTATAGAGAATGAAGTCCTGTCAGATACCTGTAAAGTGTGGATAAATATTAATGAGTAAGTGTTCAAAGTCTGATGTTGCTGAGGAATGTTGATATTTTCCTTATGAAAAAATTTTTCAGTGACCTGTATACATGTTAGATATCAGACACCTTGGTTTTATTTTTGAAGGAAGAATACGAAGTCCTGGGGGTTTTTTTGTTTTTGTTTATTTTGTTTTGTTTTCTTCATGGTGCTTGGAAGCATGACTTGATTATTTATGCGTGAAGCCATACTTTACTAGTATCACTGAGTGTGTCAACATGAACGTTGAGTTCTGATCACAGAATATTGGCTTCTTGTGGGTTATTGTGATCAAACAGAATTGTAGCAGAGGAGTGCACTCAGCAAGATTTGTTTGCAAATACACTATCACTTTCAAGGTTTAACAAGATTTTGGGTAGCTGTTTTCCTCAACCCAAGTATATAAAAACTCTTGATAGGAAAAACTATGTGCAGTTGATAGATTTGCTATGCCATAAGATTGCTTAATGTTTTGCTTCCTAAATTCCCTTTTCTTTCAGCATGGACCGTACTATTTACTTCTCACAATAAGACTGCAGGTATGAGGGATGTGATATTTTGGGAGTATAGAAAGATTTTTGAAGCTGTATCTTCACCAAATAAGTGAGTCTGCATAATTTCAAGGGGGCTTACAGTCGTGCTACAACCTGCTTCTGAGAAGGAAGCTTCACCATAATGACAGTGTCAGTCTGAAGAAATCAATAGTATGCACAAGGAACTAACGTAAAATAAATTTTCCTCTTATGTAAAAAATGCTGGACGTCTTTTAGGAAGGGAATGTCATTGGAACTTGATGTGCAAATAATCAGTTCTTTTTGTGGTTTATTCAGTTGCTTTTTTTGGTACTATTCATGGTGGTGATAATTGCTGAAAAGATTAAGTGTTCTAGAGGACAGTTATGTTAGCCATATCCAGCCAAGCTAGTTATGATTTGCTGGGATTCGTGCTTATGTTGCTAGGTTAGAAGAAGGTGGTGGGGTTTTCTTGAATCGCTTTCAAAAGCCCATGTTTCCAGAAATTTGTGCTGATATGCATTCTGGATTAACAGATTGTAGAATGCTTTGTGAGTACTGCTCTTCTCTGCCTGTGCACATAACATTCTAGCATTGAACTGTGTTTAGTGGTGTACTCTTCATGACTGTTTTCTGGAGTAGAAACTGTGTGACTGACAGTGACCTGAAGTCAAAATTCTCACTTTTGAGATAATGAAAAAGGGGCTCGGGGTTGTTCTGGGTTTTTTTTTTCGGTCTCAATATCTTAATACATATTTAAATTACTTAAAACTAAATATTGCATCATTTGTTCCTGAAACTGTATGTTGCTTTATCTGGCTTTGTATTGGTAGTCATTTATAAGTCATTGGAAGCCTTTTGTCATTTGAATAAAATGGTCAATCCTGCTTTAATTACAACAATGATGGAAAAGATCTTTCCTTAGTCTGCCTTGGTTTCTTTGCGTGTTTTTAAAAAAAGACTATGAAATGTGGGGAAGCAAATTATTTTCTCAGGCAGTGTTAGAGAGTAAAATATTTTATGGGTAGTATCATGATTTCAAACCACCGTTTCACCTAGGGAAGTGTTGTGCTGGAGCAATAGTCTTGGTTTCTTTCTAGTTTTTCGGCGTTTGTTTTTTTTTGGCAACCTAAAGACTATTCTGGGCTAATCTGCTTCTCTCTTGAAGCCTAAAGCTCTGGGAACCTGGTACATGACAGGACCATTGTTTCAAGTCTTATTTCCCACAGCTAAGCAGTATTTTACAGCAGGTGCTTTATTCTTATGCTCTTTTCTAGGCAAGCATATAGGGTTACTCCTTAGGTCTGCTCTCCCAGTCTCTCAGCAGGGATGATATTTTGTATGGATTTTTATTCCAAGGATATACTTGATTTTTAAAAACTTTTGAGCCCGTATATGGTTTTTGCATCTACCATGTTTTCTGGCAATAAGCACCATAATTCATGTGTTGTGTGAATAAGTCATTCCTCTGTTCTGTTTCGAAGCTGTTATCTGAGAACTTCATGTGATACTCTCTGTTTTCTGTATGAGGAGGGATGGAACTGTTTGAGTCTTTCCTAAGCAGTTCGATATGAGTTTAGAATCTTTAAAGATCAGGGTCATGGGTTCACTCAAGCACTTGGCTGGGCAGGAAAGTAATTGTAGATTCCATTAGTTTCCTTTAGACTTGTTCCCTTATATTAAGATATGAACTAGTATCAGGAGGTGAAGCTGGAGGCTTCCCTAACTGACTCCTGGTGAAGGACATCTAAATGATAAGAATGATCATTTATGAAGAAGTCCTGTAACTCTTTTCAGGAGAAATTGATACGGTTTGACTCTCTACTTTGGTCAGTTATTTTCATTTCCAAATAGAATAGTTATGAGAAGTCATTCTTGACTTACTTGATACTGTTTTTCATAGTGTTTCTTTTGCAGTTATTTGCTTGTAGTAGATTAAATTTCGTGCAGAGTTGTGTTCAAGGAGACATTAACTTCTGAGACGTGTAAATTGTTCAGACATTTCATGTAGGCTGTAAAGGTAACTATAAAATAGAGATGATGACTTTTAAGATTCGCAGGTTGTCACGTATTATCCGAATGATCTATTGATTATTTTTTTTCCAAACCTTTCTTTTCTTGTCATCTGTGGCAGAAGTAGAGATTTCTTAAAAAATGGGATTGCAGGATCATTGGGGTTGAAAGGGACCTCTGGTGGTCATGTTGTTCAACCCCTTTGCTCAAAGCAGGGCCAACTAGGGCAGATTCCTCGGGACATAGTCCAGTTGGCTTATTGGATATCTCCAGAGACAGAGAGACTCCACGACCTCTCTAGGTAACTTGTTCCAGTGTTTAAATACCATGATGTTAAAGAATTTTCTTCTTCTGTTTAAGTGGAATTTCTTATATTTCAATATGTGTCCTATGTTTTTTTCGAGAGTAAGAAAGTATTTTGAGTTTGTGCTTGTATCACTAACTGTAGATAAAATAGCAAGCTGGTTGAATTTTGCTTTCTGCACCTTTGCTTGAATAATCCATGCTTCTAATTTAAATGTCTTAATTAAACAAATAATTTAAAATGTCTTTTTCTGTTTGTTTTTTTTTTTGTTGTGTGGTTTTGTTTTTTTTTTACTTTAATCACAACACAGATTTATGGGAGTGACTCGGTTGGTCTCCTTCAATTAGAATTCTGACTTCAGTTTCTTAACTTGAAATACAAGGTCAAGAGGTAGAGGGGCACTTCTGATGAAATAAAACACAGTTATCTAGTAAAACCCTGCTATAAAACAAAATTCGCCATGCCAGCAGTGCCACAGAGAAGAGAATATGTAAACCTTGAACAGGGGCTGAGTAAAATAATATACAGTTTCCAAACTGTTCCAACACATACTGAGGTTATCAATAACAGTAAAAATTTTGTATTGAAAGCAATATTGCCATTAGTTATTCTTCTGCTAGTGTTACATTTTTCTGTCTATTTTCCTTAAAGTGAAAGAAGATTGAAATGGCATGCCACAGATGTTTATTGTGTGACATTTATAATGTTTCAAGAATAACAAATTATGTGGTCATGGAACATATTTGTCAAACAAACCACATAGCTACTTTTAATTTAATGCTGCTAATACAGTAAGTTGGATCTCGTGTACCCTGATGAAGGATTAGGTTGAACTCCACAGCAGCATTACTGTCGCTGTGAGATACCCTTTTCTTCATCTCATACTGTGGATTCTATTTGAAAACATTCATGGGAATAAAAATTAAAAATCACTTTTAAAATCAGAAATTAAAAATTCACTATTTTAATGGATACTTTATTAGTGATCACAATGCAGGTGATTTGTAAAAGACAGAACTATAATTGGCAAATCACCTTTTCGGTCTTTCCTTGGTTGTTTTCTGTTCTGCAGGCAGTCCAGCTTGCTCCTGCTGTCCACTGTCTGAGGCAGATCTGCCACCTTGACCTCCTGGTGTGATTCTGTAGAGCAATATGGATTTTATGGTTCAAATTTATTAACTTCCTTATGCATGAAAATAGAGAGCCAGAGACATTTGGAAGGAGATCCCAATAGGGCAGTGAAATAAAATGTCAGGTGAATAACTAATTCAAAGCATTAAACTATTTATTTATTTATTTTTCTCTCAGTACTGAGTATTATTACTTGAAAAATGCGCTGCGTAGCACTTTTCAGCACAGGACTTGATAGAGATGGTCGG